AAAACACTTTGAATAAAAGCTTTCTCTGTGACAAGGGCTATGTAGAAATTCACTAACATGAAAGAAGAACAAGACAGTTTTTTATCTTCTGTTTGAAGCTGGAAAAATTTTTGCTTTCATGTCTCCTTTTAATATTTATCTTTTTGTCTGCCTCTTCACACTACTTTGGATTGAGAAAAGAGAGTACTGAATCAGAAGATGAAGATGCAGTAAAGGGAGATTAATTTACTCAGCTGAACCAACAGGCACTATTTAAAAACTGCTCAAGAACGACAGGAAAATGGCCTTGGCAAGCATTCAGGTCAGGATGAAATTTTCAAGGTTTTAGAACTTTGTTCAGCAAAACTAATGGGGTTTCAGAAACACACATGTACTCAAACTCATCACTGAAGGCTTAGCTCACTTCCACTAGAGATTTATTCTGGAAAGAAGATATAGCCTTTTTTTTTTTTTTTTGCTTGTTTTCACTTGGAAACAATCATAAGTAAATGCTTGTCTGAATAATCAGAGAGCTTTAAGTGCTGACAGGTTTACAAACAGGTACAGGGCACAAAGGCAGAAAATTCAACTGATTTGTCACTGCTGCTATTCACATCGGCCATGTTAAAAAAACCCAACAAGTCTGTTTTACTACTGTTTGGGAAGCTGAGAAGCACCAACAAGGATGAGGAAAAGGCTAAGCTATTTAATGCTTTCTTTGCCTCAGGCTTTAATAAAAGACTAGTTATTTTTGGGGTACCCTGCCCCAAGTTGGAAGACAGGGAGCAGAAAGAAATCCTCTTAATTCAAGAGGAAATGGCTACACACAGGTCTGCTGAGCCAGATGGGATCCACCCCAGGGTACAGAAGGAGATGGCAGGAGCGCTCACTGAGCCACTTTGCCTCACTCACCAACACTACTGGATAAGTGGGGATGCCCCTGTTACTGGAAGTCAGCAAACGTGAGCCCATCTACAAGAAGGGCTGGAAGGAGACTCCAGGGAAGCACAGGCCTGTCAGCCTGATTGACATCAGGGCCAGGGAAGGCTGTAGAACAGATGATCCTGTGTGCCATCACAGGGCACATGCACAACAACCAGGGGACCAGGTCCGGCCACCTTGGGTTTGTGAAAAGCAGGTTCTGCTTAGCCAAGCTGACCTCTTCCTCCAAGGTGACCTGCTCAGTGGATGGGGGCAAGGCTGTGGATGTTGTCTGCCTGGACTTCAGCAAAGCCTGTGACAGCTTCCTCCAGCACCCTCCAGGACAAACTGGCTGCTCACAGCTTGGATGGGTGCAGAATTTGCTGGGTGAAAAACTGGACAGCTGAGACCAGGAATGGTGGCGAATGGAGTTACATCCAGCTGGCAGCCAGTCACAGGGGGTGTTACCCAGGGCTCAGTATGGACCAGTTCTGTTTAACAGCTTCTGGTTACCAGCTTTACTAATGATCTGGATGAGGGGATCAAGTGCACCTTCAGACAACACCAACTTGGGCAGGAGTGTTGATCTGATGGAGGGTAGGAAGGCTCTGCAGAGGGCTCTGGGCAGCCTGGATTGATGGGCAATTGTATAAGGCTCAACAAGGCCTGGTGCTGGGTCCTGCACCTGGGTCACAACAACCCCAAGCAGCACTACAGGCTGGGGGCAGAGTGGCTGGAAAGTTGCTTGGTAGAAAAGGACCTGGGGGTGCTGGTCAGCAGCTGCCAAACGTGAACCAGTGTGTGCCCAGGTGGCCAAGGCCAGTGGCATCCTGGCCTGGATCAGCAACAGTGTGGACAGCTGGACAAGGGCTCTGATCTTCCCCTCTATCCAGCACAGGTGAGGCCACACCTCAGCTCAGTTTTGGGCCCCCTTACTACAAGAAGGATACTGAGGTGCTGCAGTGTGTCCAGAGAAGGTCAACAGAGCTGGTAAAGGGTCTAGACAATAATTCATAGGAGAAATTGCTGAGAGAGCTGGGAGAAAAGGAGGTTCATGGAAAATCTTACTGCTCTCTACAACTATCCGAAAGGAGGTTTGTAGCCAGGTGGGGATTGATCTCTTCTGCCAAGGAACAAGTGACCAGGCAAGAGGAAACAGCCTCAAGTTGCACTGGGAAGATTTAGATTAGATGTTCAGAAATTTTTTTTCGTGGAATAGGTTGTCAGGCATTGGGACAAGCTGTCTGGGGGAGTGATTGAGTCCACATCCCTGGAAGCGTTTAAAATACATGTAGATGTGGCACACAGGGACATGGCTTAGTGGCAGATTTGGCAGTCCTCTGTTAACAACTGGACTCGATGATCTTAAGGATCTTTTCTACCTTAAATAACTCTACATCTCTGTTTTAAGACAAAGCAAATCAGATTCACATTTTTCACGACTCTGCTTATATTTTCTCTGCTTCTCTAGTACCTTGGTGATATGCTCTAAATGGCTTAATGCAAACCCTACACATCTTGAAAACACTCAAGCAGAGAGGTGCAAGGCAAGCAGAAGAGACTTCTTTTGTTCCTAATGTGACCAACCAAAAGAATAGCAAAGTAACATGCCTTCTAACTCCTACCTGTTCGCCAGTTGAATATATGCAGGAGGAAGGAGAATAAATTGTTTCTTTGCTGTGAACAAAAGCTTGGTTTCAAAGGTATAAAATGCCAAACAAGAGAAGTGAGTCACTGGACTGATGTCCAAAAAGGCTGCTCCTGCAAAAAAATTCACAGAATCCAGTAATCGCTCTGCTGCAATGGCACGTAGAAAGTCTCATGCCTTTTCCTGGAAGGGAGCATGAAGTTTCACCAAAATAGGGTTCTTTAATCTTCAAGCTGAGACTTTCATGGATCTAGACCTGCCCTAAACCTGCAGTCAGGAGTCAGCTGTTGTCCCCTGCCCATCCCTGTGCATCTGCCCTGCTCCCCACTGTGCTGGCTGCCCATGCCAAGCTATTGTCTGAGGACTTCAGCTGTCACCCAGAAAACACCACATCAATATTCTGAGCCCCGTTCTTCTATGAGGATGAGGAGTTTTGTATGACTTTTATGTTTAGCTGGCAGAAAAGCTGGGGCAAATAGGAAGAAAAGTATTCCATAGACAATCTGACTCCAGCTAACCACTACAGGTAGGAAGGTTTCTATAAAGAAATAGTGTAAAGAAATCAAGCAAAACTAGAGCACTTTCATAATATTGTAACATTTAAAATGTGTATTTAAATCACATCCTGAAATTTATGTAAATGCAGTATTTGACAATCCATTTCCTAAAGAAATCAGTTAAAAAATCACCCTAGAATTAAATACTCAAGAAAATATAAAACATGCTACTTCATTGTTAAATATTACACTGCTAATAAATTTTGAAAGGAAAAATGTTTCATTTATCAGAAAACACTAAGAAATGCTTACATAGTATGCAATGTTGCTGCAATTCAATGCTGTCTGATTTAAAAGACTCATCAGCCTTTTCACTACATCACACCTACTAGGTAAACTAAGGATACTCTCAAAAAAAACCCCAAAGGTCTTCAGGTTTGCAACAAAGAGCCAAAAGAGAAACTACAAATAATTTTATACATTTTATGTAACTGTTTTATATTTTTGCAGACTTACATTGTAAGAAAAAGGTAAATACATTGTAGATATATAATGTATACACTACAGAAGAAATGTGGTACCTTAGTGGCAAGGACGTACCATAGGTACAGAAAATGGGATCCCTAGGGAGGAGCAAGAGGTTAAGACTGTTGATCTTTTTCTTTTATACCTGATGCTGAATACCATCTCTGCAAAATCAGTCTAATCAGGAACCATCCCTCTGACCCTCACATGTGGCTACTCTTTTGATCTTGCAGTTTGGAAGAAGAAAGAGATCATTTACTGAAAGTGTGAAGTCCTAATGGTTTTTATTTTTTAAAGGTAATACATTAGAAATGGAACTCTCAAAGAATCAGAAGACAGAACACAGAAGATTAAAATTTTGTTTAACTCCTCTTTGTTTCCATATAAAAAAATCATGCCCACTGTTACGTTCTATATCAAGTGAATTTCCAATTGCTCAAAATATTTTATTTTCCAAGAAAAAAAAAATAAACACACCCTGCTCCCAGTTTTATAATTTCTTACTACACTGTCTACAGAAGCCTGAAGCCATGCACTCACATTAATTACCATGCAAACAAAATGCTGTGTAATTAGGCAGTCTTTGGCAAAGATCTGCAGTACAATCATAATTCTACAGAATTTAAAAAAACCTAAATGCAAGGAATCCAATCTGGTGGCACAGATAGCATGGTTCCTGAATATCATTTCCAGATTAAACTTACAGCCTGGGCAATAAGCATCTGCAGTCAGCTTTAACCTCTGCATCCCGGCTAAATGCTAACTGGCATCACTCATTCAAGTCCTTCCAAAAATTCCTTAGAAGTTTCATCCAAATTCAATCTTCTTCACATTCCGTGCTATAAAAGTCTCTAGAGTCTTGCTGCATACTTTTAAATATCTGCCAGAAGAAACAGCACTCCCATGATACAGAGTGTAATCTGTTTGCAGGGTTTAAAAATACTTCCATAGCCTGTGGAATGGGGACTATTTTGTCAGAACTAAATTAAATTGGTTATATTGGTGAAGAGTTATCCCAGGCACAGAATTAATGAACTCAGTGCAGATTTAGATCTCCTTTTAGTGTCTGGCTATACACAGATGAATGTTAACAGAAGTGTTCTGCCACCTTTAAAACACAAGCGCACAGTTTAAAGTCCTAAGTTACCATCTCTTGCATGTTGACTGCAAACATTATAAACCACAATCATTTTAAGAGGCAAAAACATATAATAGCATTCTGGCTTTTCACAAACATATTGTACATAATTATGCTACAGAAAAGTAAGCGTGAGGGGAAAAACAACAACTTCAGAATGTGAATTCTAGTGCCAGAAGGAAGGGAAAAAGAAGTGCATTGTATTGTTTATGAGTAAAAGAGGGGAAAAGTTTTATGTATTACAATTAATAGAAATCAATGAAAAAGGTTTTTGACCAAAAAAATGCCTTACCTTGAGAAGTTGAGGAAATGAACATGTCTAGTGAATAAATAGGGCTGCTCAGCAGTGCTTATGTTTTTAATCAATTCCATCTAAAAAGAATTAACAAATCAAATTTTCCACATTACATCAATGCACAATTTGAGACAAACATAAAACTTTCAAACAACAGATGATGATATAATTTTCAAGTCTGAATTACTCAGGACCTCCTTCCCCACTATCCCTCCCAAACACTGTCACCAAGAGAGCACGATGAATATTTTATGTCTAAGCAAGAAAGGTTGAGCTGCAGACACCATTCTGCTACCATGGGGCTTATGTACTTCCAAAATACTTCCAGAAGCAGGTATCAGTCTAAACAAAGGCATAAACTAAAGGAAAAATCTAAACTGCCTAAACCTGCAAGAGCCTTCCAAATGGCAGCTACCGTCTGAAGACACTGGCTCTATTCACCCCAATGCCAAAAATGCAAAATGTCTGTAACAGAAAGCAGGAGCTGAACCAATGGTCATTTTTGTGTAACAATAAACACTGCCAACACAGTCAAGACACCAATTGATTTGCTTGTTTAAATATAGAAATCAGGACTTGCAATTTCTTTTACTATTACAACAAATTAGGAGCACAAACTGAATGGGCACTTTTAGAAAGGTGATGCTAAATTCCAGTTCAGGCCCATTCACATAATGTTAATTAAAAAAAAAAAAATTAATTGAGTTTTCAGACCATTAAGATAGAATAGTGAAGCATCATGCTAGAAAGTCGATGTTTCAGTTTATTTTGCTTCCTTCTTATTAATTTCCTAAGATTTCATTTCCAATTTTCTGTTCTGTGTTCAAATGCAGGTTATGTTATGGACACTGAACAGAAACACACTTGAAATGACAGGTTTATTGATTTTGCAAACTGGGTAGTAGAAAGCAATTCATACACTGGATAAAAAAAGAGGCAAGTCTGTGAACTATATGCTCTGATTTGAATCATATTAATCTATGTGAGGAGACAGTAATTAAAAAATGTATTTCTTAAAACTGGAATGTTATAGTTGACATAGATAAAAATAAGCAAGAACATGTAGTCCAGCCTGTTGTGTGGTGAAAATAAAGTAACTGGCATTTGTGGAGTTACTAGCAGCAAAAAGAGCATGGTAAAAAATTCTGCCCATGCCATAGCAAATACCAAACCACATTTAAGAGACAGCAGTTGACAAATTTTTTCCCCTTCTAATGTCCAGTTTCAATTGACTGATATTTTGCCATGGTTTTTGTAATTTATATCACATCTTATTGCTTCTTATCCATCCTCCACTTGCATCCTGCACTTTTTCCCAGTGCACATACCCTGCCTCCTTCTTTCAGCCAACATAAGCTACAGCCATTTAACTGCCAGAAAGAAGTGCACACACTTAGAGACTTTCTCTACTTTCCCTCTGTCATCATACATGTATGATGACCACTGAAGCAAACAGTTCAGCTTGTCCATATTCTCAGGATGGACCTTTTCCTGTCCAACTGGTTTGAGCACATCAGGGTGTGAGGCACAGACCTTATACATCACAACATATTAGGTTTGAGAAAGTATAGCAAGGTGTGTTACATCTAAAAAAGGCTAAAAATCCAAAGAAATGGAATGTAAGATGAGATCATCAAAAGGGAAAAGAGAAACAAGAGAATATGGAGAGAACATGTGCAATTAAAAAAAATTAACACAAGGAATTTAAAGAAATATTCAGGAAGGGAATAGCATCCCTTCCTCAGCTAGTCATATTTGGAGTCTGGACTGCTTGATTCAAGCATAAACTGGCCTTTGCACAGCTTCTTCAGTACAATATAAATGCATTGGGCAAGAAATTCATAAACCTGAAGGGCAAAGCTTGTCCAGATCACAATTAGAAACCCCAGGAAGGTTAGCGATACTTAGCACCAAGGAATTGAGTATTGTTTCTTCGTGCTCTGAAGAGACAAAGGCTTTCCTAGCAAACCAGTATGTTGACATTTCTTTAGAACTGGTAACTCACTCTGAAAATTATATTCTTCATTCACCTTGCAGAATCAAACAATAGAAGACCCTGTAAGCCTGTGTATCAGACATCTCAACTGGATTCTGTGATAGTCAACATGCTACAGATTCTTTTTCTGGTTTTGTTTTTTTTTCTTTTTTTTACTGAGACAAGTTACAGGAGAAGTGAAATTCTCAGAACTGTATAAAGCCTGATGTTATATTTTGCATTTTACTTGTGTTTCTCTATCTGCATGAAGTAAAGAACGAAGACAGCAGAAGGAAGTTACTGATCTGGTACAAAAACTCTGTTTGTGCCCCTATGGTCATCACTGTAATTCCTTCTTGGCATAAATGAAAAAACCTTACTAGAGTATAAATATGGAGATATAAAGATACTATACCCATGCAAAGTAATCTCACTAAATCTAAAAACAGAGGCGGCTCTAGTAGAATACTGCTAGATAAACGTAGCTGGGGGTATATGTGAGTGTTGCAAAGCACCACATGAGCTTCCCCTAGCTCCCAGCTGTCCCCAGGCCTGGCACCCATTTGGCATCAGGAAGCAGATTCACATCACAGCACTGCCACGTTTCTCACTCCATTCCTGATGTCAGTGTCACAGAACCAGCTGCTGGACAAGCACAGACACTTCAGCCTCAGGAGCAAAGGGAGGCTGGAAAGATGCGCACAGTGCGGGACAGCATCTGTCTCCTGGTCTTTTTTTTTTGATCTCTTGTTACCAAACTCAGTCTCTTGAGCAAAGACAACAGCTTGCTCTAAAGCAGAAACAGAATTTTGTTTTGACTTAGAGTACCTTCATATTTAGACACTTAATGATCAACTGGACTTGCAAGCAGATGTGGATAAAGCTACAATGTGCATAAGAACAAACAAGCAAAATCCATTCTTCTAAAAACACTGCCAGAAGGGTAAGAAAGGCTCAACTGAAATGACACACAGATGTCAGGAGGGAAAAATAAATAACTGTAATGGCTCATGGCCACATTCAAATTGTGGCCATATTTCCCATGGGCCTCTCCCTCTCTCATCATGCTGTCCTGAAATGCTTTCAGGCTAACAACCCAAACATATTGCTCAGAAAGACATAGTGAGCCCTTCCTCTTTTTAACATTATGTTAAAGAAAAAAAAAAACACAACAAAAAGAAAAATCTCCAGTGTCTCTCAGAAGAGTAAGTTTGGTTGGTTGGTTTTGGTTGTTCTACTTTTTTTCGTTTGTATGTTTGTTTCTATAAGGTGAAACAAGAACAAAAGAAAATAAGATGTAGAGGATCCAGCCCACAGAGAGCAAGAGTGAGCAGAGGATGAGGGCTGAAGAAAAAAGTGCTTTTGGATGAAATGAGTGACGAAGGAGAATGACATACAAGTACAGCTGATCATATCATCTTAAGTTTGAAAAGAAATAAAAGCAGCAGAAGATAAACAATCCTGGCAAACACTGCTAGCGAAGAGATGAGTCAGAACACATCCATGGTTGGAGGGAGAAGCTGTAGAAATATTTGGAGAAGTACAAAAGGAGCTCGCACCTGCTGGGATTAAGAGCCATTTCTCTCTCTCACTGCTGCCCAGAGCTCTCCTGCAGGAATTAGGCAGCTTCAGTGAAACATAGCTGAAAAATACACTAATTTGCTCTTGAAATTCACTTGCAATGGGCAAGCAGTATTGCGATGGGTTGGTGCTGTATTGCAAATAAAGCTCCAGCAGATGGCACAGTGAAGTGACTCCAGGAGGGCTGGATGGGATGGATTTTCTCTAGCCTCAGCATTGTTCCTGCACAAAAACCTCAACTCTGGCCTTCAAGACAGGTTGCCTTTCTCTCTTCTGGAGATGGCTAGTCCAGTCCCTGTGCTAACCACTCAGGAGAGTCCCACTTCAACTGTTTGAGGTTTGCAGTAAGTAAATTCTACTGGGAACAAAAGGAAATAACCAGGTAACAATCCCACCCTAACAACAGACAATTTTTTATTTTTTTTTTTTTAAGATGCTGGATTTCAGTGTGAGAATTTGAGGTCAAAATATATAAAAATGGTGAGGCAACTGGGATTTTGCAATGTGGTCTGCTGTATCACACTATGGTCTCCACTAATACTGACACAAAAAGTACAAAAAAACCCCTCTGTACCTATCTTCCCTGTGAGCTCTTTACTTTCTTCCACTGCTTTCAGTCTCTACTGAAGGCATGTAGGGCTCAGGAGGCACAAGTACCTACAAGAATTTTGGTATATCACTTTCATCTCAGTACTCATTTCCATAAACAACTCACAACTCCCAGGAATGAGACTAGATCTTCATTTTAAGCTCTCAGAAGCTTGGAATGGTTTCAAGAATTTCCTCACCTCCCCAAGCTGGTATGACCAATTTTCTGTCTTTAAAAGCATTTTAGAAAAATTAGTGATGGATTTTTAGTGCGTTGAACTGGAATTACACATAAAGTTGGCTGCACAGCTGTAATGATGGGTGGTAGAAGGAAACAATTTAAGGATAAACTACCAATTACTCTTGTATGTGACTGGCATTTCTATACCTATAAGCATATTCATTCTTACTTCCCTGAATGCAATAAAATGGTAGTGGAGGACAAAGTCAGGGCAGGGGAAGACTTCATTTTGCAACAGTTTGAGTGACATTTTAAAGCCACATCAATTAGGTTAATATTATGTGTTATTTCCTGTATTTAATTTACTTGAAAATATTACAGCAAATGGCAAGCCATATATTAATACATCTGTTTCCAGAACTCACTCCCTTATGCCCACAGATGTTCAAAGGCTGCACTTCTAATTGCTGGCAGACACACATAATTTGGGAAAATTTCTTAGTAGGAAGCAGACTGGAAAAGGCAATGAGAATATGGATTCCAATTATGTGCAATCCCCACAGCCATTAAAAACACCTACATGCTTAACTTTATTTAACAACGGCAGACTGCATAAGCTAAATATTTACAGAAAAGTCTTGGCTGGATCAGGGCTTTAACCAAACACAGGACCCAGAAATGACAGAAGGAAGAGAGACATATCATCTCAAGTGAGAAGGCCATGCTCATGCTGAAGCCTACAGCCCAGCCCAGCTTTCTTTTTCTCTTGTTCCAATGCCTGGAGCCTGAGATCATTCATTGCCTTAACTTCCTCCTGTTACACCACATTAAAGGTGTAAACCATCATTTATTTTTTCCTATTCTGCTCTTAAAAATTGAGAAGACAACTAAAAATGCCCTGAACAACAGAATAGTTACTGTCTCCAAGCATGTTCTCTGGTGATCAAAGGCACTTTTCAGCTAAAATACTCAATAAATTATGAGCCTATTGTTACTATGGAAATAAACCATAAATAAAAATAAAGAGACTCAAATTATGGCAGGGAAATCTATAGAGTAAATCATCAGCTCTGTAGCAATACTTCTAGCAGATTTGCCATTTAGTAAATTAACCATTTGGGGAGTGCAAAAGAAAAGGCAGATAATTATTTGTCAGTGTGTTGGTTGCATGAAAAGTAAGTCTGGGTCTCTCTGGAATCTCCACATGCTGGACTAAAGCATGGAAAACTGTGAAGAAGTGATCTTGTATCATGTTTTAACAAAGGAAAATCCACCTACCAGAGAAAGACAGAAAATAACTGAAAGGAAGAAGCTGATCACCGTGAAAGCTGGTGATTACTAACACCTGAAAGATTTTTGGGATTTATGGTATGTCCCTCAATCAGCAATGAAAACTGGTGAAAGATGCAAACAAAACCCGAGCAGTCCTACCCACAGAAATCCCATATCCCAGCAGAAAAACTAAGCAGACAGGTTCTGTAGCACGGGATAGTTTGACTCCTTTCTGGTAGGACCATATCACCACTTTCCCAGGCTGCACAGTGCTGCCATAGGATACACATGGGAATGCTGCAGCAGATGCAGAGCAGGCATTTTCTTGGCCACCAGCAGGGGCAGTGAGGGGACACTGTGCCCCTCCACAGCCTGTCTGGGGTGTGCCACATCCAGCCATGCATAGCAGCTGTTTTTGGGCTGGCATGGCAGCCCTGCCCGTGGACCCCATCTCTGGCTGAACTTGACTTATGGAGTGTTAGGTCAACCAACTGCAGTGGGACCCCATGGACACCTTGAAGGGGAGGAAGATGGTACCTGAAGGAGCAATATCAGCTCCTAAATTTTCATTTGGAATGAACTGCTGCATCTAAAATAACAAACTTGTGCTCATGAACAGGCTGCAAGTAAATGACCCCCAATCACAGCACAATGTCACTGGCAGGCCCACATCCATATTTTGATCATTGCACACATCCTTTTGTGGTTTGCAGGCTGCTATTTCTAGAAGTGACACAGGCAGCAATTGCAGCCTTTACCTGATCAGCAGCTCAAAATAGCAGCAGTGGGCAACGTGTGCAGCATCCGACTACAGACGTGCACTTTGAGTCTGAGGTTTTCCTGCACCACTTTTATCAATCTGCTCACAGAAGTGATACATACAGTGGGTACCCTGAAGAGAGGAAAATTTAAATAAGCAGATCTGTCACAGAAACAAAGCTGCAGAAGTAATCCTTCTACAACTTCAAGGGAACATGAAAAAGGGTGTTTGCGTTATGATGTTTCATGCGGTATTTCCACTTCCCTCAGTGAGGGTTGTGCAAAAACATGAAAAAGACAGATAAGCAAAAAGCTGAGATAGGATCAAGGACATGTCATATTATAGAAACATGGGTTAGCATGGCCCTGGGAAACAACTTTTTGAAGCAACTGATTACTAGAAGTGAATTAAGAAAGTCATCAAAAAGGACCTTTTTGGCTATTGTTTACTCCTGCTCTGTTTAAGACCCAAGCTAGGTCTGAATAAGGTGTCCTGGTTATAGGATAAATGGCTGCAGATACATTAATACATGTCCCAGATCTGCTTGCACTTAACTTCACTGTACTGATCTTTCTTGCCTTGCTGGTAGTCTAACTGCTATGCTGACTAAATTCAAAAGCTGTCTCACTGGAAGTTAGTTTTTCTGGTTAGCTGCCACATCATGTTGTTCTTGGCTCTGCCACCCATTTCTCTTATTAAGTGAAGTCACTTAGAGAACGATGAATTCCGCATGATTACTCAGGACAAAGTAGCAATGCATCTTTTCAACAGGATTATCTGCTAACATGTACATTTGTTTCTCAGTTTCATACACATAATAAGAAAACAGGATCTAAGACAAGCAGGAGTAACTTACCTGCTCATTTTTGGTCAGTCTTGTTTTGTTATGTATATCAGATGTAACCAGGTTGAATCCATGTTTCTCTGATAAAATTCTTAAAAGCAAAACCACAGTTCGACTTCCACACTTTCCAACTCTGTTGTAGACCACCTGACTGGGGAAAGGAAGTACCTAAACAAAGATTGAGAAAAAAATTGAATCAATACATTGACATTTTGTTTCTGTGTACTTCTCAATAACATGCTTTTACCTTAAATCAACAGTCACATAGAGAAGAATTTCTAGGCCCTAGGTCAGAAGCATTCACTTCCCCTAGGAAGGTAGAAGCTCTTCAGAAAAGAAACAGCATGGCTCAGGGAAGTGGCAAGGTGAGATTTCCCCCTTGAGATGCAGTTAAATGCAACAGATTGACAACTACTTCAGAAACACTATTATTATTATTATGTTGGTAATGATCTAGATCTTACTGCTTGTAATCTCAATCCAAATACTCATCTTTAGTTGACTATCTCCCATAAAAAGAATTTAAAGGAGTGAATTTGCACTACAGTTTGGGAACTTGAAGTCAAGTTGACATAATGCAGGAGGAATGAATGCTTAGATTGCAAAACTTCAGCTTAAAAAGAAACAAAAGAAACCAAATAACAACCAGTTGCACAGAGCTGAAATTAATCAACCCTTTTAATTTCAAATATAAACATGAATCTCTCAAACATACTCAGAACAAATCATGCCACTGGTCAAGGATCTATGTGCAGAATAATACACACAGGGGGCCTGAGGCCAACTGGCACAGTCTGATCATCTCTGTACAGGTAATGTTCATTAAAAATCAAAATAGAACAGCAACATCCAGCCTGGCCACTGGGAATGGCGTCCAGCCCACACTAACACTTGCACCCTGCTCTCCTCCCCAGAAAACCAGAACAAGTAAAAAGTAACTCAGTGTCTCACGCTCCGTCAGATGCAGCCTTATTTTGTTCCTGGATGATGTCTATGGGCTATTTCAGCAAAGGGCATTCTGGAGTCACACTACTGCACTAGACAAGTATTTGCTGTATAGCACATAGAGCAGCATGTGATAATACAGGCCCAGAGGAAATGGTTTCCAAGCCTTTAAGCTGGCTAACAGTCAGGAGCTCTCAGTTTCACCCACAGTGGGGCATAAACAGCACTTAAGGAAAGATCATTTTTCTATTAAGACAATGGCACAAAACATACCCTGACACAGGGCCTGCACCTGGGTTCCAGGCAACCTGTGTTCAGCACAAGGAAGGGCCACAGTGATGGTGTGTCTCAGCATATAGCTACTCCTGCTGCTGATGCAATCATGTTCTTCCAGAAAAAGGAATTCTAACATAAAAGCAGTCAGATGAGGCATATGGCACTTCTCAGTGCAGAGTACTTCTTCACTGCATTTGAACTGCTAACAGATCTTGATCAAGGAAGCAAAATGATTTGTCAGGCAACCCTTCAGACTACTTTCAAAGAGAACTGCCAAATAGAAAGAAAAAAAAGGAAAAAATCTGTATTCCCTTATACTTGATGGGAATCTACTGGCACTTTGCTCTCAATGTAACATTTCATGACCAAATGAACATTGCTGGTGTCACTGGTTGCAATGTTTAGGATATCCTGCACTGCAACCTAAATATGGAGGCCATTTTCCCCCAAACCACCCTGAGAAGGAGTAAGTATTGGGTGTTCATGGCCTCAGTTAAGCTTTCCAAGTTGGAGGATGTTGCATCTGCTGATTCAGCAAGCAAAGAAGGGCCTCTCAAAGCCCATACAAACCCCACACAGTGCAGTATGTCTTACTATTTTGTAACATTTTTATAGGGTTTGCTATGAGAAACTTAGTCCCCATATTTCTTTATCAATCTTTCCTTCAGAAGCCTTGCTTCCTATGAAATGCAAAATCTCAGCTTCAATTATTAGAGAACTCCAAAGGTGATGAATTTTTTATCCCTGTGCTACAGTTGTAGCTAACCTTTCCCAAAACTACTCTTAATGGTGTCTGAAAGGTTAACAATTGAACACATTTTATTATGCTGATTATCACACCCTAATCAAAGAGAATATGAGCCCTATTTTGGATTGTCCCCTTTTTGGTTCATTTCTTTGCATAACAAAGACTAGCATCACTACTTGTCCCAGTCCTGCAGCACCATCCACACATCACTGCAACTTGTGGGTTGGGAATTACTCCTCTGCGTATAAGACATATGCTTTTGGAATACTTTGCTGTGTAAGTGAGTGAAAGCCTTCAAGATACATGGTAAGTAGATGCTGACAAGTGTCAGTGAACAGGAAAGAGCACATGCACTATATGTTTGTCTAGCATCCCAGAACTTAGATGAATGATGAGAGTTTGTAGAGTTATGGAAATATTTAAGTGCTTCATAATTATTAACTGCTTTGATTTTGCTAGCAGTTTGGACTAGGCAAGATAGTGAGCAAATTTTTTTCTTTATTGGTACTTCAGTCAAGTACAATTTTACTGCTTACAGATTACACTCAAATTCTAATTAAATCCTTGACTGAATTATCCAGTAACTTTGGGTGAATCTTATAAAAGTAATTCTTTAAAAGCTAGATAAAATTAAAGGAGGCCTTTGTAAATTCTCTATTCTAAGTGCAAACAACTTTGTCAGCTTTGAAAAATGACAGTAGTCACCAAATTTGGCCAGTTCTCACATTCGTTTCTGAAACTCACCTTCCTGCACACAAACCATGGTAACCCCCAAAAAGACACGACGGCAAATACTCACTGCAGAAAAAGGAACCTGAAATAAAGGGCTATTATTTTCAGACACTTATTTAGCTTAAAGGAGACCAATGTATCGATGCCTTGTTTCAGTACACAGTGAATGCACTTAGGTCTAATCAAACAAGATTCAAGATAAGCACTGCAGCTCAAAGGTCACTTCAGAAGAACAATCACGAGTGGTAACCAGAACTTCCCTTGCAGCACTGTTGAGTGTGGTTGGCTTTTGGGATGCTCTCCTGAAACTCTGCTCACGTTTCCTCCGTTTACGTCACCATTGCACTTATCACATCCAGACGCCCCACAGGGTGTGTCCAGTGCACAAAGCCATGCAGTACACAGGCTTCTGGTGTACAAGCAAGTGTTTGTTTAATTTGACCATTTCCCTCAGGATGCTGCAAATCTGCTTTCTGTATTTAGAAAATGTTGAAGTTATTTGAGGAGAAGAAATATCACTTCCAAAAGCATGAGTTTGTATCAGGCAAAACTAAAAATGCAAGAAATGGAAAACTTCTCCAGAGAGGATCTTTCTTTTCCCCCTCATGATACTCACAAGACACTCAGACAATACAAGAGATGGTGGCAGAGAAGGCACTTAGAAAGAAGGCTCCTATTGTGAGAAACAGCAGTTGGACATTTATAAAATGCTAATTGGATTACATTTTATTATTACTTATTACCTAAGAGTAGGTATCATGTAGACTGACTAACTGCTGAGATGATGCTCTGTCAACTTGATATTCATGTAACAATACACACAACTGCAAAATAATTGCAGAGTGACTTTATTGAGCACTCTATCAAAGCCCAGAGGTGATATAAACAATTCAAACATATAATTCACTTTAGAGTTACACAAATTAGCACTTACAGCCATAAAAAAGTAAAACCCACAGTATAATTACAACAGCTCTCTCCAAGAGTTTGGAAAGTTATATGACAATTTACTTGTCAGTTCAAACAGGGTTTTTTTTTTTTTTGTTTGTTTCACAATTAAAGAATAACCACTGTGAAATGAAATCAAGAAGAAAAAGCAAGTTTAGACCCAAATGAACTTGCATTACAGAAAATGACTGTCAAGTACCTCTGCAGAGAGGTCTGCCAGTCTCAGAAAAGGAGTCATTCAACAGATAACCTGACAAAAACCCAGTCTTTCATCTTCAGTGGGGGCTTTGTCTGCAGATAAATCTTTGCACCATTAAAAAAAAAAATTAGGCTGGATAATTACTTGTAGCATCAGCGATGTAGAGATTCAATCATAGGCCTAAATTATTCCACTTTTAATGAGACAAATCCATTACAATTTTGCCCATTTGCCAAAAATCTCCCAGTCCAGGTAAAGTTGCCCAGGTGTCAGTCTCTGACTCGTTTCAGGAGTACAGTGGATACTTTATTCACACCTCTTGCAAGTAAGTGACCCCTGTCCTTACACACAAGTGGGGCCAGAAGCAGATGCCAGAACTGGCTTCTCCTTTCTGAGCAGACACTAACCTGTGGTCAGGCAGTGCTCCATATTTATCAGGTGAAGAAGGCCAGTAAACACAAAAAGTACTGATAAGATTGTGGAAACAATGCAACATTTGCTGGCATATCTTTATACAGCATTACACCCTCCCAGTCCAACCTCTGAATTTTCTTTTCCTGTCCAACTAAGACAGAATTATAAGAATTTAAAAAATGGCTTAATTGGTCAAAGGAATGGCCCATTTGACTCACGAGAGGAGGATGATACTCATAAGGTAACTACAAACCTGACAGCTGTCAGAAGCCCATTTCTCTCCAGTGCCTCTCTTCTTTCTCCAGTGTTCTCAAAAATTATACATGGCATGTTACAAGGCACATCCTTCCATGCTGCCTGAAGCTTTTCTTACACAACTTGTTCCAGTATTTTTTTACTCACCATGCATTTAGTTTTTAATTAATCTTCTATGATTTCCAGAGAATATCTGTTCTCACATTGTGGATTTCATGAAGACAGATCAGATAATTCAGTCATCAGCTTTGAGATCTTCTCAGATACACTGGATGCTCTTTTCAACTGAAGTTTTTCACAAGCCTGCCATGGTCTTTAATGACAAACTCAAAGGCCACTAAGAGAAAGCCTTCCAAAATTAAGTTCAGGAACTGCTGCTCAAAACTCTCATTTCAAACAAGTATCAACTTGCTCACTTTTAAAGCAATCAATGAAAAGTTGCTAACACAAAGTTATGTCAGTAGAAAACACAACTGAAGGGTGAACAAGGGAGTAAACACAATATAGCTGGAATCCTTCTTCCCCATCTAAAACACACAGTTCCAGTTATATAAACCTGTAGAGTGTAGTGATGCTAGACAGAGACAAGCTTTTTGAATTAATCAACTCTAAAGCAGACCAGACAGCACGGTCATCTCTACGGGTCACTGA